GGTGAGTCCAATTTCAAAAAAAGTTGGAAAGATTGTGTCTTGGGTAAAAGGCTTCCAACGTTGTTCAAATAATTTGATTCCATTCAGAAATCTGGTTGCCATTGCAACTAAAAGGAATTATAAGAATCAAATTTAGAAATTATCTTCTGGACATCCACAAAGCCTAGTGCTTAAATATTTTGAGACATGTCTAGTAAACCTCTTCTTTAGTTATTCAAGTTATTCAAATTATAGCTTTGTAGTTTAAATTGTCCCTGCACAGATCATGAGTTTTCTTGTGACGAATAAGATTATAATACAAATTGCATAGCTGTCTATTCGTTAAATATATATATAATTCCCTAAAAACACGAGCTTTTAAACAGCTTTCCAATAATGAGTTGTTATCGACAACTATTATCATGATATAATTATAATCACAGTATAGGAAACAAAAAATTCTTTCTGGCGTAACATTAACGGCAAGTGAAAGCAAAAATAAATTTGCCGCCCCTTTAATTGCATTTGTTAATTTAATATTTTCATCACTTTTAACACAATTATCAGTAGATAAAAATAGAAAATACAGCTTAAAAATGGGGAAAATAAGAAACAAACAAAACAATAATTCTTTCACTATAACAAACATCACACTCAGGGGCTTTAGTGTGTGTAATTTGCATTGAACAACCAAGTTACCTAGGCTGAAGACCATAATATGAATGATCCATTTATGAATAAACTGATACAATCATTGTTGTTTACGAATGAAATGATGGATAAACGTTACATCAAACAAAAAAGAAAATATTTCATTCATATTCCAGACAATATGGTGTGCATGTCAGAAATAAGTAAGTGGACTTTTTTACATATTTTCCATATTTTATTATATATACATGTACTATTAAAAGTTATACATTCATGATTAAAAAAAAATCAAATATCTCCGGACACTCTTGTCGCCAATTAAGGCATTTATTATAAAGTTCTTATTTTTACATCGACAAACACTTACATTAAATATAAAATCTAAACTGTTACTGTAACAAAATAATATTACCATACTTTCGCAGAAAGAGTCTGTGGAGCTTAGAAAAAAGCCAATATATAGTGAACGTGTTATTAAAATTTACAAGGAGAAGTGTGAATCAAACATAGAAGTTATGATATATAAAGGGATCACAAGCAATGTTTTCTATTGACAGGCGAACTTGAATCACCCTTTTTGGTATTTTGCTATTTTGTACAATATACATAAATTTGTATTATGAAGTATAAGAAATATGCAAGTGATTCGAAAGTCAAAAATCAATATTTATAAGACTCTAATGTTACTTGTATTATCCTATCAGTGTAAAGTTCTGTTTATACATGTAGAATGTGATAAAGTATTTATTTGCCTAAATTGTTGAATACCGTTTACATATTACACTTTTGTGTGCTTTTGTAGAGTGCCTTATGTTCAAAGTTTCGAAATGAACTGTCATTTTGATTAGTGTTAATTTTCACCTTGAGAAAAATACGCTGTACGTTAACAGAGATATGGATCTATTAAGAAAACTGAATGAAACAGCAGAGCAGAATTATTAAATGATAATTTTATAAAAATACACAGACAAACATTAAGCAGTTTGGTCCTTCACTGGAAATATTGATTAACTAAAATTCAAAGGCATAAACTGTTTTAGGAAATACGTTCGAACACGGTTGATGATCTAACGCTGTTTACGAGACAATAATACTGATACCAGTATGTTATTAGATCCATAAGACAACTTCTGAAATAGGCTAACTGTCTGGTTATTACATTCAGTCACGGAATGTTATTTTCTCCAGTTTGTTTTCCTTATAATTCATGCTATCATGCTGATGTCTTCCCTAGACTTTTTCAGCCAACTCCAAGTTTGAAAAAGTCAAATTATTTATCCGCTACATGAATGACATAATGAAAAGCACTGAAGCTTGTTCCATTTTTAATAAAACAACGTTTTACATAGCTTAAAACTACTTTTGATGTCAATGAAACCGATTTTGATGTTTTTCCACTTGAATTAATTGGTCATTAGTCCGGATAATACTTAAAACAATTAATTTCGTTGTAGCCTATTAATGTCTTTCCGCTAAATAATTTGTTTCTTTATCGCTTTTGTTGCTATAGTTATACCAGATTGCTTAGGTTTGAATTATAAAATAGTGTTGTATTTGGCGAGATAAATTTTATAATTATGCTTTAGTAGGTTTGAATGTAAGTTCAGATAGTATATCACAATCTTCATATATGAGCAAGAAAAAAACTAATTCAGAATCTTATAATGTATCGGAAGACTGTTCATTTCATATTTTATGATATTGTTTGGTAAACGATCGATTTATGTTTCCCCAATAAGGTTTCCGACCTCATGTTACTTCTAGTAATCTATCAATTATAAAATTGTAATTCTAAAACCTAAGCCAAATCAATACTTCAATTCTAAGTGCTTATTTTACACACAAAAAAATCAAATTTTTAATCATTATTTTATTTAGAATAAAAATTGTCTAAATGGGCATTCTTGAACAAAAAATAACTTGTCCTGAATTCAGAACGAAATGATTCAAATATAAAACAGAATCTGAAAATAAGTCTTTTTGTAAAGGGAACACATTTTCATATACAAATTTCCGGAAATTAAGCTGCCAATCATTTCTTACAGGAACAATTGATGGCAATTTGATGAGGAAATGTAAGAATATTATTAATGCAAAATTGCCAATTATTTCGTATCAAAATATCGAAACACTAACGAAATGGTACATATATGATGGGCATTAATTGTCGGAGAAGAAAAAGGCAACAGCATATAATGCAGAAGAGGAAGGACAGTGGTACAATAGGAAATAGAAATGTCCTGAATATAGAATTTCACCGCAAAAAGAAAGAAATTTTAATATGATAAAGTTTCTCGACACCGGAGAACTTGTTTAACTGCTGATAGATACTACTTATTCTGTACTGCTACAAACATTTATTGCCAATGCTTAGTTTTGACACAGAGCACGAATTTCTTGACCTAACGGCTGGGTTGTTGATGAGACGATTTCATTTACTGAACTACCTAAAATTGGAATTATAAACTTTTACGTTAGATGCAAAACTGTTGTGTATGACAGTCTCAAGAATGTGTCATGTTTAAGACTTCGTTACCATGCTATTTCATTCACGTTGCAATTCCATTTTAAAAAAAAAAACTGAGATATTTTCACTAGTAATAATATATACATTGTTAGGTGAGTATAACCTCTATGCTCAAAGAGTACTGTTAATTCCCAAAACATCAGGTCTACAACAATGTTTCCCTCTTTTGCATCAGCTTATTGAGCATGTGTCCGAATTGTGAGAAAAAATAAGCACACTATCTTTTAATTAAATAAGTTAAAATTTGTAAATCAATTAAAACAAAATGTCTTGCATGTAAAATCACCTTTTCTTATTTGAAATTGAAAATAAAGGCACCTTTAATATTGATCTTATCTGACTAAGATATATTATTTATGTTAGATGAATTATTAGCTGGTGATTACGTCGGTTTGGTACTTTACAATATCTCCCTTTCCAGTTGTTACGTATAAAAATGAAAAATACACGGCCAACATTAGTGCTACGAAGATATCTAAAGATTAATTTATTTATATTTCAGTATTGGCATTTTTAAACCAACAGTTATCAAGATCAATACTAGTACCAGCCTACCAGTTAGTTTTTGATGTTAATATGATAAATTAAATATTTTTTTTCTTACTTTGTAGGTAATTATGTCTTCTGTTAAAATTTAAATGGTCAATCTGACTTCCAAAAATACAATTTAATGTGACATAATAAATTTTAATTTTTAAATATATGTAAGGAAACAAAAATACGTGTACATTCATATTCTAGTTTAACTATTGTGTAATTTTCTGTAATTGTTATATATCCTGTTTACAAAGTAAAACTTCTTGCTATCATTTTAACTATTTATCTGACCTACCAAACATCTTGTAGAGGAGGTGTGAATCAATAAAGAAAGCCTATGAACATTTAAGTTTTTTATATTCCATATGAGAGTTGGCAACTGTAAGTCAACAAAATGCGTGTACATGCATATTCAAGTATAACTATTGTGTTATTTTCTGTAATTGTTGTATATCATCTTCACAAAGTTAAGCTTGTTGCTATCATTTTCGACTGTTTATTTGACTTACCACACATCCTGTTAAGAAGGTGATAATCAATAAAGAAAGCCTATGAATATTTAAGGCTTTTTATATTCCATATGGGATTTGGCTATATTCATATGGCACGCTAGTTTTTAGGTTTACATTATAGTTAAATGGTACATGGTGGTATTGGAACTTGGAACACAAGAAGAATATTTCCCTATGATGCTTCATGCTTTTTGACATAGAAGCTTATTCCAAATGTATCTAAGATAATTATCTAAAATCTACCGGATGTGTAAAATGGAGCAAAGAAACAAACAAACACACAATTTTCTTAGCATTAAAAATGAGCTAACATATGAAAGTCAAAGTATGTTCTCATTTTCCCATAATTCTTTTTATTTATAAAAAGAGAGGAGCAGTTTTTTATATTTGCGTGCATTTTATAACATTTTCAAAATCAGTTTTTGTTCAATCATCATTATAACAGTCAGTCTGTTAAAATATAGCTCATTCAACTCAGGATGACAATGAAAAATGCAGCATTATGTCACTTTAGAACGTTTTTAATCAATTTGATTAAATAGCTTATACCTCAGACACTTTTGAAATAGAAGTATCAGAAAGTATGGAAAGCCTTGACTTTCTTATGATTGTAAAAATGAACGTTGTTGTGTCACTCTTTCTTTATACGATGTGCACTCATGAATATATTATGTAGATGCATCCTTATATGAAGTCAACTCAACAATATATGATGTCAATGTACCTTTATATGATGTCAACCAGTCATTATATGATGTGCATCTATTATTATACGATGTGCATTTATGAATATATTATGTGGTTGCATCATTATATACAGTCAACTTATCAATATATTATGTCAATCTTTCAATATACGATGTGCATTTATTATTATACGATGTGCATTTATGAATATATTATGTGGTTGTATCATTATATACAGTCAATTTATCAATATATTATGTCAATCTTTCATTATACGATGTGCATCTATTATTATACGATATGCATTTATTATTATACGATGTGCATCTATTATTATACGATGTGCATTTATGAATATATTATGTGGTTGCATCATTATATACAGTCAACTTATCATTATATTATGTCAATCTTTCATTATACGATGTGCATCTGTTATTATACGATGTGCATCTATTATTATACGATGTGCATTTATGAATATATTATGTGGTTGCATCATTATATACAGTCAACTTATCAATATATTATGTCAATCTTTCATTATACGATGTGCATCTATTATTATACGATGTGCATTTATTATTATACGATGTGCATCTATTATTATACGATGTGCATTTATGAATATATTATGTGGTTGCATCATTATATACAGTCAACTTATCAATATATTATGTCAATCTTTCATTATACGATGTGCATCTGTTATTATACGATGTGCATCTATTATTATACGTTGTGCATTTATGAATATATTATGTGGTTGCATCATTATATACAGTCAACTTATCAATATATTATGTCGATTTTTCATTATACGATGTGCATCTATAATTATATGACCGCTGCTTTATATGAAGTGCAAACATCATTATATCGTGTGCTTCTGTCATTATGATGATGGGGTAAAATTTACTGGGTTATATCTCACTATGCACCGTTAATGGCGTTATCTGCAACAGCGGGAAAACTCAAAGTAAGTTGTATCTTCTTTATTTATTTTTTAACTACGTGTGTCATTAAATATTTGTATAATAAATGTACCAGAAGTATCATGTTTATTAATATCTGGTTTGTTAGTACTGTGGAGTGATTTTTGTGCTGTTTAATCTAAATTATTTTACTCTGATCTTTCGTCTCTCACTTGAAAGTTGATTCGACCTTGTCAGCAGGGTAGCAAGACACCTCATCCCCCAGATACTTAATCCCCAGACACTTCACCCTCCAATTTTGAAGACACTTCATCCCTTCAGACACTTCACCCCCCAAAATCAGTAAGACACTTCACCCCTCATCCAATTTTTTTCTATAAAGTAAATAAAACAAGTTGGTCAACAACAAAATGCGTATATATGTTTATATTTATTATTTTTAGTATTATTTGATTAAAAATTTTGCTTATTACCTTTATTTTTACTAAGTTTTAAGCTGATTTAGGTTATTTGGTTGTATTGCCAAATTATATATAACAGCACTTTCATCCATTTAAAGTTTTTATTGCATGTCACCTTGTTTATTCAACATGTTGATTAGTTGTTTATTCAACGGTTATCTCACAATTGATTAGATAATTGAATTAAAATGGTATAATTGTATGAAAATTAAATTTATTCTTAATAAATAAATTTAATAAATAAACAAATAAATAAATAAAATGAATATGAATGAATGAATCGGTTGCTATATAAAATATAGGACGCGGACAGGACGTGGCCAAGGTAGTCCTGATTGGCCTGTAACTGGGCCTCTCCAACCTCTTCGGCCCTGTCACAGGCCTTGTTCACTTTCTTCTAAATGAGGGATGAAGAAGGTGCCTTGATATTTAAGCAGGTGAGAACAAGTGACACATCATCCATTCCCATTCTAGATTTCGTCACCGGCATCACTTTGAAAGTGGCAGCTCTGGCAATGAATAGATACTTTGATACAAAGTCCATGCCGTCGCACTATTCTCAGGGAAATGGACGCGTTTTGGCAGTGCTGCCGATGGAACAATGACACTAATTGTTTTAAATTGTCTAAATGTACAATGATACATTCATCAATTTCAGCAACTTCATCATTTATTACCTCATTTTCAGATTTTGGTCTGAGTATGGTAGACTAACACTGTCATCATCATCACTTTTGCTGTTACTGGTTATATGTTTTACATCAGTTGCCTCTGACTGACTAAGTCTCACAACTTGTTCAACAGGTTCATTTGGTAAGTCATTTATATAATGATCATGGCTATAATCATGTTTAACATGTTTTACTCCAGGCTTAAACTGAGTTTTTTTTTGTGTGTCCTGTTATGTTTGCTACTTCTAACATTAGATCTACCCATATTGCACAATTTTAAGCTCCAATATATGAAAAATGTCTCAAAACTATGATCTAACTATATTATAGAAGCATAAAGTATTCCAAATTTTACTATATATTCCAGCAATAGTCCTGCACAAATTTTCTGTATAAAATGCATTTATGAAATCTGTGTGTGTGTTAAATACCATATATGAGTCATTACTGGAGAGTTTTTGGTCATACCTCATGCTGATAAGCCGTGTGCAGCTGGACCTTAATTAGTTTTTATAAACCGTGTTGAATTTCTCTAGAGCAAGGGAGACAACTCAAACTCAGACAACTTTGCTGGGAATTCGCCTTGACATTTCGATGGCATCACTTTGAAAGTGGCAGCTCTGGCAATTAATAGATACTTTGATACAAAGTCCATGCCGTCGCACTATTCTCAGGGAAATGGACACGTTTTGACAGTGCTGCCGATGGACTAATGACACTAATTGTTTTAAATTGTCTAAATGTACAATGATACATTCATCAATTTCAGCAACTTCATCATTTATTACCTCATTTTCAGATTTTGGTCTGAGTTTGTATGGTAGACTAACACTGTCATCATCATCACTTTTGCTGTTACTGGTTATATGTTTTACATCAGTTGCCTCTGACTGACTAAGTCTCACAACTTGTTCAACAGGTTCATTTGGTAAGTCATTTATATAATGATCATGGCTATAATCATGTTTAACATGTTTTACTCCAGGCTTAAACTGAGTTTTTTTTTGTGTGCCCTGTTATGTTTGCCATTTCTCCTAACATTATATCTACCCATATTGCACAATTTTAAGCTCCAATATATGAAAAATGTCTCAAAACTATGATCTAACTATATTATAGAAGCATAAAGTATTCCAAATTTTACTATATATTCCAGCAATAGTCCTGCACAAATTTTCTGTATAAAATGCATTTATGAAATCTGTGTGTGTGTTAAATACCATATATGAGTCATTACTGGAGAGTTTTTGGTCATACCTCATGCTGATAAGCCGTGTGCAGCTGGACTTTAATTAGTTTTTATAAACCGTGATGAATTTCTCTAGAGCAAGGGAGACAACTCAAACTCAGACATCTTTGCTGGGAATTCGCCTTGACATTTTGATGGCATCACTTTGAAAGTGGCAGCTCTGGCAATGAATAGATACTTTGATACAAAGTCCATGCCGTCGCACTATTCTCAGGGAAATGGACGCGTTTTGGCAGTGCTGCCGATGGAACAATGACACTAATTGTTTTAAATTGTCTAAATGTACAATGATACATTCATCAATTTCAGCAACTTCATCATTTATTACCTCATTTTCAGATTTTGGTCTGAGTATGGTAGACTAACACTGTCATCATCATCACTTTTGCTGTTACTGGTTATATGTTTTACATCAGTTGCCTCTGACTGACTAAGTCTCACAACTTGTTCAACAGGTTCATTTGGTAAGTCATTTATATAATGATCATGGCTATAATCATGTTTAACATGTTTTACTCCAGGCTTAAACTGAGTTTTTTTGTGTGCCCTGTTATGTTTGCTACTTCTCCTAACATTAGATCTACCCATATTGCACAATTTTAAGCTCCAATATATGAAAAATGTCTCAAAACTATGATCTAACTATATTATAGAAGCATAAAGTATTCCAAATTTTACTATATATTCCAGCAATAGTCCTGCACAAATTTTCTGTATAAAATGCATTTATGAAATCTGTGTGTGTGTTAAATACCATATATGAGTCATTACTGGAGAGTTTTTGGTCATTCCTCATGCTGATAAGCCGTGTGCAGCTGGACCTTAATTAGTTTTTATAAACTGTGTTGAATTTCTCTAGAGCAAGGGAGACAACTCAAACGGGTCTCTTTAATGTCTATCTGACTGCCTTTAAATGTGCTATGTGACTTAAATTTATGGCAATTTTTATAGCATGCATATAAAGTTTTAATTAACAAGGGATTTACTTTGATGTATGAAAAAGTAACACCATTTAAAGTCTGACAGAAATGAAATTTGCTCTATTTTGTGTCATTTCAGTTGCAATTTAGGTCTAAAATGTCATATTTTTTTTTTAATTATGGGCTATTTATTGAATATTTCTCTAAGTCTATACACTAGGGGCTCATACTTTTGCTATAAAATTGTACAGATGTTGAAACAACCAGATTTAGAACACTTAACATTGGGTATACTTCCATTCTTTGCTTATACTGAAAGTAGCATTATAAGGGACTGAAAATGGCGCATAACGGTGATGTTCATTAAAGACATATATAATGAAAACCGAACAACATTTCGCTATAATTTTTCCCAGTTTTATTTAAATATGTATACAATTGCAGAAAAAATACATTTGAAGACTATTTATGATCATTAAGGTGCTCCTTAATACACAGGAACAGGCAAAGGTGGAGTACCCAAGGGGAGAACTATACATATATTAAAAACATGAAAAAAATTCTTGTCTGAAGTTAGAATGCTTAGAGCTTTGATATTTGGTCTAATATTATATATAGGTCCTCTACCAGGGATCATCGGTTTTCCTTATGTGTATATAATGAAAACTTATTAAACTAAATTTCTTGTCTTAAGGGGCAAGGCTTAGTGCTAAGTCAGTGTTTCTGCCAGGCTAGATTTTTTGAGGGTCATTTGAGACCCTCTGTATAAAAATATAAGGGTCATTTGAAATTATTACGGGTCAAATTTTAAATAAGTAAAAACTATACTTGTAGTAAATATCAGAACTGTTTGATTTCTCACATGAACTTCAATTTCTCACTTTTTGGGGATGCAAATGAAAAATCTTGAAAGGAAGAATGCATGAAAACATTTAACCGGTCATACGTTATTGCAGAAACTTTGATATTTTTAGCCACTAAAGCAGAGATGTAGATAAGATTGTTATCTATGACACTGACTTAAAAGCCCTTCTTTTGTGGTGAGCTTGCCATTGTGAGAAATGTGTCTGCATGTTTACACCTGACCTTGGCATGCATGTCTAGATCCTGGATACCGTGACTGATTGTAGGACGGTTAAATGTTGTGCCGATAACGACAAAGAATAAGTTAGCATCTTAAACATACCCGCAGTTACCGGAAATAAATCAATTTGGGATACTCAAACAATAATTGCTGATTTTAACAAGATGGCACTAATAATAGGAGAAATAACTTAATGAGAATGCATCTCATTACATGTAAAGCAGATTATCACTGCGTCATAGAAAATGCGCTGTGCCTTTTCCAATTTTGCGTCATTCGTGAAATTATTGTGTCAATAACTCAAGAGATGCAGAGTAGCGAAAACACTGAGTGCTTTGATATTTGGTATATGAAATCATCTTTAGGACCTCTACCAAAGTTTTTCAGATTATGTCTCTAGTGTCAAAATTGGCCCCACCCCTGGGGGGTGGGTCACACAGGTTTTCCATATATGTATATAGTAAAACCTTAAAAAATCTTTTCTGAATTGACGATGGCTAGAGGTTAGAGATTTGGCATGAAACATTGTGTTGTGGACATCTACCAAGATTTTAAACATGTAACATTGTGTTGTAGACATCATCCAAGATTGTTTAAATTATAGCCCTTGGGTCAAGATTGACCCTGCCCAGGGGGTCATTGATTATCATTATGTATGTATAGTAAAAACTAGAAAAACCTACCAAGATTGTTCAAATTATAGCCCTGCGGTCAAAATTGGCCCCACCCTGAGGTCATTGAATTTCATTATGTACATGTTATATGTTATATTAATACGGTGCCCGTGGCATAGCATTTTTTCACTTATGCATTCTTGTTATGTTTGCAGAAATAGGTAATGCTTAATTGAAAAAAACAACAACTGTATTTCAAATAATGCAGCTATGCATTATACAGTAAATAACTAAATTTTACAGCAAATACTTGTATTTTGAATCTGACAGTTATATTTTGAATCATTTATTGCACTATATATTATGGCCTTTGTAACTAAAAAATTAGACACATCTGTACCTTGTCTTTCATTTGACAGGTTGTACTATGACCTTGACCACCAAATTCACTAGACTCAATTGTATATAAACGAAGAAAGAACATTTTTCACAAATGCAATCTTGTTTTCAAAATTTGATCTTATTACTTAATTAAATGAATTTAAGAATTGTGAACTTTTCTAAATGCTGTATAAGTGTATATCTCAGGTAAGCGATCCTGAGGGCTGTCATTTTTAGCTCGACTATTCCAAGAATATGAGAGCTATTGTAGTTGCCCCAGCGTCCGCGTCGGCGTCTGCGTTGCTTACAGTTTTTTGTAAAGTCAAATATCTCAATTATTGCTTGAGATATTCAATTGAAACTTACAATACTTATTTACAGTAACAAGGTACATCAGATTGACAAGTTGGATAACTCTGCCTACAATATTGACAGAATTATGCCCCTTTTTAACTTAGAAATTTTGGTTAAAGTTTTTTGTAAAGTCAAATATCTCAATTATTGCTTGAGATATTCAATTGAAATTTACAATACTTTTTTATAGTAACAATCTACAACAGTTTGCAAAATTGCATAACTCTGCCTGCAATATTTGCAGAATTATTTGCCTCTTTGAAACTTAGAATTTTTGGTTAAAGGTTAAAAAATCTTCAAAGATATTTACTTGAAACTTTACACATGTACTTAGGGTCATAATTGGAGGGTCATAATTGTATGTCACTGACCAAGTTCCATAACTCTATCTTGCATTTAGGCTGATTCATATCCCCTTTTCTACTTAGTCTCTTGGTTAATGTTTACATGCAAGTTTTACATATCTCAATAACTATATAAGATATTTATTTAAAACTTCACATATGCATTTAGGGTCATAATTGTAGGTCACTGACAAAGATTCATAATTCTATCTTGCATTTAGGCTGATTTTCTCCCCTTTTTCAACTTAGAAATTCATGGTAAAGTTTTGCTTAATAACAAGCCTTTGTACCTTTTCTGTCAATTTTATGTATTCATAGGTAATTGGCATTATTATACTCAATAAAACACCCTTGTCACAACCTTCCGAATAGTCGAGCCAATACTGTCCTCCGACAGTTCTTGTATTTCTGACTGTGGCAGTGTGAATTAAACAAGGTAATAGTCTGTATATGTCACATTATACAAAACCATCCTGTATTTGTTTTTATTTCAGGTTACATTGATGTACTACACATCATGGCACAGTATGATACTATTACATCATTGTTAGGTAGAATAGGTCTAAGACACCTTGTTGAAAACTTCAAAACCCAGAGGATCGACAGTATTGACACATGCAAGAGATTAGCAGACACTGATTTACTATCTCTTGGTCTGTCTACAATTGGAGACCGTGCCCGGTTCCGTGCTGAAATTACAGCATGTCATGAAAATGCATCAACAGGTTTGTTGCAATAATATTTACTTATAAATAGTACTTCTATATATAATGTTTGTAATGTTTTTAACATTTCTGGCGATAAACTTTTCGCAGCCTCTGTGACAGCGTCTGTACATTGCTATAAATGTTATAATGGTGATATGATATGGCATTTTCCTGTTCAATGATTTATGTAAGAGTTATGGCCCTTTAAGATTTTTATATGCCCGAAAGAATTTTGGGCATATTATGTTATACTCCCTGGCGTCCGTCTGTCTGTCCGTCCGCACTCACAGGACAGTAATTATGTGGCTAGAGGGACAATAGGTAACTGTTCTTACTCTTTGATGTCATTCATTCCGTAATGCTTTTATGTAGCTATTTTCATTTGTGTGGCTAAAAAGAACAATAGAGTAGCCTCATTTCTGCTCTCCTGTTAGAATGTCCGTCCGTCCGTCCGTACCAGGTTAGCTTAAAATGGCAAGTTGGATTATGGCTTTCATTTTTACCAAGTTATTGCCCTTTTCAGCACTTAGAAAATAAATAATTGGTTAACCAAAAATGGCAATTTGGATATATCTTAAGTTCTTATGTTCATTATATCACACTTACTTATCAGTACAAAGTACATGATATTGCCAAGTAAGATAACTGTGCCATCCATTCTTCCCAGTTATTTCCCTTTTTATCACTTTAAAAATAGGGCCTTGTATGGTTAACCTATTCCGGCAAGTTGGATTTATCTTAAATATTTCCTAATCATTTCACTTATTCAATGAAATGTTTCCTATTTGGTAGGTAAATACCCTAAGTGATCCTCTAATTTTGTGGGGAGTAAGGGGTCTCTAGGGTCAAGGTCATTGGTGTAAAAAACCAAATTTGAATATTTTTGCTCATAAAGCCTTTATTTTTAGCTCACCTGTCAAAAAGTGACATGGTAAGCTTTTGTGATTGCTTTTTTCTGGCAAAAACTTCTATTTTAAACAACATCTCTTCATAAACCGCTAAGCCAATTACATCTAAACTTCACACAGGAATGTTCCTTTGGTTACGAGTCAACTTTAAAAATTGTTTAAAGAATTAAATTCCAAGCAGAACTCTGGTTGCCATGTTACCAAAAGATATCTTGCATAGTTTTTGGATTGATCAAAGTGACATGTGCCAACAGCAAATTTTTATACATGTATATTGGCTTATAAAGCCTTTATTGATAGCCTATCTGAAAGGAATATACCTTGGATAGTCCTGTGCTGGGAGTCACACAGTCAATGTCACTTGTAATGTCAGACGATAGTTTTTTTTTCCACTTTTTATGCCCCAACAGAGTGGGAGCATATAGCGTTGCACTTGTCCGTCCGAGTGTCCGTCCGTCCGTATGTCTGTCCGTACGTCCCGAAATCTTGTGAACGCAACTCCTCTTAAACCGGATGGCAGATTTTGCTTAAACTTCCAGGGATGAACAACCTTAATGTGTAGATGGCAGTAAAGGAAGGAATTTTTGCTGCGACCAAATTTAACAGAATTATGGCCCTTTGTTGATTTTTTCATTATATACTATGTAGAAATTTTGTGAACGCAACTCCTCTTAAACCGGATGGCAGATTTTGCTTTAACTTCCAGGGATGAACAACCTTAATGTGTAGATGGTAGTGAAGGAAGGAATTTTTGCTGCAACCAAATTTAACAGAATTATGACCCTTTGTTGATTTTTTCACTATATACTATGTAGAAATTTTGTGAACACAACTTCTCTCAAACAGGATGGCAGATTTTGCTTAAACTTCCAAGGATGAACAACCTTAATGTGTAGATGGTAGTAAAGGAAGGAATGTTTGCTGCAACCAAATTTAACAGAGTTTTGGCCCTTTGTTGATTTTTTCACTATATACTCTGTAGAAATTTTGTGAACGCAACTCCTCTTAAACCGGATGGCAGATTTTGCTTAAATTTCAAGGGATGAAGAACCTTAATGTGTAGATGGTAGTAAAGGAAGGAATTTTTGCTGCGACCAAATTTAACAGAATTATGGCCCTTTGTTGATTTTTAGTTATCATTGTGGCACATGTAGTCCAAAAAATATTTGACCTAGAGTCATAAGATTGACAGAAGAGTGGCGTGTGGGGGCATCCGTGTCCTATGGACACATTTCTAGTTTATACAGCCTTTGTATTTATTTACCAATGACTGTCTCATATTTACAAGGAAAGGTTGTCCTTTAATTCAGATATTCCGTCCTTAACTAAGTAAATAGTTACAAAGTATAAAGAGAGCTGTCCTTAACTCGCCCCTGCATCGGCCAGATTTCAGATAAAAAGTTTGGTGCAGTAAAATATTTTTCATTATAACTTTTTCATTTCTTAAGGTATCAACTTCAAACTTCAAATATATATTTTTTATCATCAACCAATGTGATAGGATTTTTAACTGTAACTTCTTTATTACTTAAGGGATCAACCTCATACTTCAATTATATGTTCCTTATCATCAACCACATCTCATGTGACAAGGTTCATAACTCAGATTTATATCCCATTGAACTTGAAGAATTTTCCTTAAAAAATACTATTTTAGCTCACCTGTCACAAAGTGACATGGTGAGCTTTTGTGATTCCTTTTCATCCAGCACCTGTCCGTAAACTTTTACTTTAAACAACATCTCCTTATAAACTGCTATCCTTTGGTAGTCAACTTGAAAAAATTGTTCAAAGAATTTACAGATGAGCGATTCAGGGCCATGATGGCCCTCTTATTTACTGTAACTTTTTTATTTCTTATGGGATTAACTTAATACTTCAAATGTATGTTCCTTATCATTAACCACATCTTATGTGAAAAGGTTCATAACTCTAGTACCAATATTGCAAGAATTATCTACCTGTTCACTTACATTTTTTACTTGAAAAACATCACGTCTAAAATATATTGAACATCAACGGTAATTCATTGCATAATATTGTTATGTTCAATTAGGAAATATGCGGGGAATCTTAAAATTATAATTTTATTCTTGGTTATGTCATATTTTCATTTTATCCCCAAAATGAAGTTTAGGGGGGGTATATAGGAGTCACTCAATGGTTTGTCGGTCGGTTGTTCTATCCAGCTGTCCCTTGCATTTTCCTTGTCTGGAGCATAACTTGAAGACTAATGGTTTGAATTTAATGCAACTTCATACAATGGTCAAGCACAATAATGGGAAGTGCAGTGCTTAAGAACCATAACTCTAACTAAAGTAATTACAGTTATTGCCCTTTGTTATTTTTTCATTGCTTTTTTGTCTAGGGTATATTACTTGAAGACTTGTTGTTAGAATTCAATACAACTTCATACAATAATCAAGGACATTGAGAGGAAATTCAGTGCACAAGAACTCCATCTTGACTAATTTGAATTACAGAGCTTTTGCCCTTTGTTACTTTTCCTTGTCTGGAGCATAACTTGAAAACTACTAGTTTGAATTCAATACAACTTTATGCAATGGTCAAGCACATTAAGAGGAAGTGAAGTGTTCAAGAACCATAATTCTGTCCAGAGTTATTATAGAGTGATTGCCCTTTGTTAATTTTCCATTGCTTTTTCTTTTCCAGAGCATAACTTGAAAACTACTAGTTGAAATTCAATACAATTTCATACAATGGTCAAGTATATTGCGATATAGCGTAGTGCACAGAAACCATAACTATTTCTTGACTCATTTAAGAGTTTTTGCCCTTTGTTACTATTTATTGTCCAGTGCATAAATTGAAAATTAATGTTTGGAATTTAAAAGAAACTTCATACAATGGTCAAGGGCAGTGAGATAAAGTGCAGTGCACAAGAACCATAACTATTTTGGACTTCATTACAGTTATTGCCCTTTGTTACTTTTTTTGTCCAGTGCATAACTTGAAAACTAGTACATGTAGTTGGAATTCAATACAACTTCATACAATGGTCAAGCGCAATGAAAGAGTGCAGTGCTCAAGAAGCCTAACTCTTTTTGGACCTATTACAGAGTAATTAAATAAAGCTTCATCAATGGTCAACCACATTGAAAGGAAATGCAACATGTAAGAACCACAAAACTATCTTTAATTGCCCACAACCATAACTCTATTTCAGTTCTTTTTGCAAGTATTCTGTTACTAGTAACTTCCTCATTTCCGAAGCAGTCTTGCAGGGGTATTTAATCCCATTTAGTAATAGTTCTAGTTTCATTTAGTAAAAGTAACATTTACAACTGTGTTTAATTTAAAAGTGATTAACCATAAAAAGTTTCTTAATTTTATTCCAAAGGAACTGCTTTGATATATCAATAAGTTTCCAAATTATGTTTTCAATTTTGTTTTTAGGTGACAGTAGAGCTTTTTTGGCAAGCCGGTCAAGATTCAGCAGAAAGAAGCCAGCTAGACGTAAAACTTGGACAGGAACATTCGTTTGTTTGGCAGATCATAACCAACCAAGGTTCCATGTCAAGAGGAAAAAGTTTGCCTACAAAGGGCAGGATTAGGTGTTAAAAAAATTACTTTTGATTCTGAGGCATCTGAATCAGAAGTAGATTCTGTTATTACTGGTGAAAGTGGTTTTAAAAAACTTGAAGGCTGTGGCGGTTATGAACTCTTGCATTGTAGATCTAACTGCAGAAATCTTTCAAAAAATAGATGTAAGCTGGGATGTAAAAAAGCTTGAAAACTGTTGTTGGTGGACAGAGTAAAATATACATTAGACCCATTCAAACCTCCCTGGAGTTACAGTTCGAAAACGAGGAGGCAAATACATCCAATATAAAGTTTCCATGTATGATATGTGGTGTTGAATTCATTGTTAGGGACTTACGGGAGCATGCAAATACCTGCTTAAAAACTGATAATCCTACTGACAATGAAGTTGTTAACAAGGACACAACTTTTGAAACACCTTTTGAAATAAATATGCCTCTTGACTTAAACAATTTAGAGTTTTTCTCTGCTGATCTTAGTGACACCGTACAGATAGAATCTTCTGCAGAGAAAAGTACTCAACAAGTTGACAGTCCTACAGAAACAGCTAGCACCTTTTCTGGAATTGAGAATCACCAACAAAATGAACAGTCAGAAATCCAAACAATTACAGAATCCTGTATAGAAGGTATTAGTTCCCAGGAAATAACAGATCCGATTCATGGTTTAAGATTTTTGCAGACAAAGATTGTTACAGGAAGAAAGCTTGATTTAGAAGAGGAAGACTTGGAGTCTGGTCTTACATGTGCTGACTGTAGTACAAATTACATAATTGTTGACAGGAATCACATTTTGTCCACAGGTATGGATGAAATAAAAGAACTGAATGACTTGAGGCTAACATTGGAAGTTCAGTTCTATGGTGAGGTAAGAAAAAATTATTGAAATAGGTTTGCTATTGATAAGATAAGCATAATTGTACAGTGTAGTTTTTAATCAGCCGTTTTTAATCACGAAATAAAAAAGGAAAACGGGTGCAGATGGCCTCTAAATTGTGTGTTACTGACTATCATGATATGTACATCAGTGTTTTGTTTTGTTTTTCACCAAAATACTCAGCAAATTTGACCCAATTTCCCCCCTCAAAATGGTATGTTTTTTCCGTCTTTTACACTCTGGTTTTACAGGGTGACTTGTTTGAGAGGTGAGTTTGACAATTGGTTACATCTAGGGTTTAAGATGAGAGGCCTTTTAGGCTGACATTCTGGAATAGATAAAAAAGACAGTTTTAAACAGTTGTTTAACATTTAATTGTTGAAGCCAAAAGTAAAAATGAAATACAGTTGCAAATATAAAATACAATTTGAAAACATAATAGTTTTTAAACATAATAAAAACATATCACAACATATGTTCTTATATTTGCAGACTGCAATAAATGTATATTTAATAATAATGGGGAAAATAATAAGTGTTCATTTAATACAATATAATAACTCGCATTAACTATTGAAAGGTACAATGTAATTACTAAAACTAAACACTTTTGTATACTAGTGTAAATTGCAAATTGCAAACTTATATAAAAGTGTTTATTCATGTAACTCAAAACTGTCCTTTTGTTATGTATATTGAAAAATCAACTTGACACATTTAACAAGAAAATGTTTTACAACTTTCGTTGCAGTCCTTTTTTGTAGATAAATCATAAAATGTTATAAAGACAGAAATTACAAAATTCACAAAATTAAAGTAAATACAAAATAGTTAAATAATATGGTAAGCAATCCTTGGATTCAATAATGATCTATTATAACTATTTTCACTGAAAAAGACTACCTAAGAAATAACAATTTAATTATTACAAAAGTAGAAATTACTATATAACACAGTTGCATATTCAAATGATAAAATTTACACAATAATAAATAAAATACAAATATTTATAAAATTTAATATCCTATTTAATGAAAGTATTCTAAATTGTTCTTAAGAAAATATAAAAATATCACAAGTAATACCTTGAATATATGGAAAAGACAGTTTTAAACAGTTGTTTAACATTTAATAGTTGAAATAGATAAATACAGAATCCCCAAAGAAAGCCCAACACGGCAAAATTGAAAATGTTGCAGGCTCGGTTTGATTGAGCCTGTTCATGGACGGTACTGGAAAGTGCAAGTTACCGTCCACGCCCCCTAGCACCGGCTTAAGCAGAATTCAACATTTAAACGTGAAATAGTAAAATTTTGAATTTAGAAATATCCGCAGATGTGTTCATACGGCGTTTATCATGGAACCTTCAATGTGACACTTCCGTGCCATTCCATGAAAAGCGGCGTATGGTCACAAAGTCCAAAGTAAGAATGATGTCTTTTGGCATAAAAATAAGCTTTCTGTAAGGATTATTGTAGAACCATTAAAAAGCACAGGATCTTTTGTTTCATACCTATCTTTGTGTTGTAATCAATTAAAGGTCTGCCCTGGTATCTTTCTTAAGGGATTGACACTGCTTACTAACATATGTCATTGTAATAAGAATTGTTAAAACTACATTGGAAAAGATTTGGCTATGTTTTTACACTTATAGAATTTAAGCCTGCATAAACATTTTCTATCTGTTTTTGCACCAGTATGTATGATATTGAAAGGTTTGTTTTGGTCTGTTTTTTCGTTTGGGCCCCTGGTAGCTTTTTGGAATAAAAATTTTGGGTTAATGTTTTATTTTCCCAAGCCAAGCCTTTTTTTGTTTTTTTTTTTAAAGCTAAGTTTTCAAAATAGGAACACATGGTATAACTAAATGGGATTTTGACAACAAGTGTTGTCTAGATGTATTGGTTTGGTACATGTTTTGGTTTAAAATGACCTCTTGGCCATTCTCTGTAATTTTTTAGCTCACCTGACCATTAAGTGGTCAAGGTGAGGTAATAGAGATGGGGCTATGTCAGCCGTCCCATCGTCGTGCATAGTCAACAATTTGTTGTTTAACAGTCTAGCAGTCATAGTTTTGATTGGATCATTGTCAAACTTTGTCAGAATGTTTTTTTTTCTTAATGAAATACAGATCAAGTTCGAAGATGGGTCATCTCCAGTAAAAAAAACTAGGTCACAGGAGCTAAAAATAGAAAAAGCTTGTTAACACTCTAGTGGCTGCAGTTTTGATCCAAATATTCTGCGGAAATTTGTCAGGAAGGTTGTCTTGATGATTTTAGGTTTTGAATATGGGTCCTCTCCAGTCAAAAATAAGGTCACATTGCCCAAATGCAAGCAGGACATAGTCATTAAATTCACATGTATGTAATTTCAGAATGCTGAGGACTATGGTGGGCCCAGGAAGGAATTCTTTAGCCTTATTCTACCAGAACTGAAGGCTAAATACTTCGAACCAGTGCGTGATTGGATAAGTTTGAGTGAATATGAAACAGCAGGAAAGATTATAGGTAAAAACTTTATGTACAGTAATGAGTAATTTTACCAGAACATCATACAGAATTTAGAAGTTCAGGAATTCAGAAGTAAGAATAAGAGTAGAAATAGAAAGAAAAATTTTGGGACACTTACGACTGTTCAGATTTCAGGAAATTCCGGATTCTGGAAGTATCTGGATTTCAGAAGTTCTGGATTTTAGAACTTATATTATAATAAAAAGTTCACCTTTTGATGGATTTTGATATATTTTTGTATTATATTAAAGCCACCTTCATAGATTTGAAGCAGACTTGATCTGGCCCATTCATTTTTAACTGATGTACAAAATATAAATGTACTTAATTTCTTCCTTCGCAGTTCCCTTTTATTAAATGTTTTAACAGTGCGTCAGTCATGCACTTGTAGTTGTTGGAACCTAACCTATCCATTATAATAATAGTAGAAACCAATCAATGTTAGCAAGCATTGAATGAATGAGTACATGCATTTTATGTAAATCTATTTTTTTTCAGCATTCTGCTTGCTACAGAATGGAAAACTGCCTAGAATTCTAGATGTGAACACATTGGCTGAACTGTTTGAAGACAGTCCAAGAGGGGTTCTTTCTGCTTTCGCTAAGGGATTGGATTCACTTGGAATATTTCAGGTACAAGTTTTTTATAGCAAATAATGTTTCTAACGAGAACTTGCTAACAATATTTAAAGGCATGTTATTCATATTGACCAAGAAAAATAACCAGCCAGAAATTGGCAAAACTTGGAAATATTTTGATAACTGTGGCACTCCTGTCTGTATTCATGCTTGGTTAGAAATTTAAAACTTCACTAAGGCTAGATTTGATGATTTATATTTTATT